GACATCACATATTGAAAATTTATGTGACCATTCCATATCAGGGATGACCATCCTGTCTTCTTGCTTTACACAACAATTGGCATTGGGTTGGCAATAGGTTTTGTCAGATAACAGCTGAGGGAACATTTTGTAGCATAATTCTCCATTTGATGGTTACAATGGTGTAATCTGATACTTCATGACTAGTGTTCCATGTCGCAATCCAAAAAAGGAAACCAAAGTGGTCGCAAAGTGGTTGCAACCAGGTGTCACAAACCATTTTTATATGTCGCAAATATGGTTGCAACCATCACCAAGAATTGTGACCAGCATCTATATTCATCCATTTTATTTTTCTATCATTGTAACTTTGATCAAGTACCCCTTTAAAATTTTGCATTAATTGATAATTTATTCTGTGTGCTTCAATGTTATTAGGATTAAAAATAGATATTTCATTGTAAATTTCAGGAATTGGTCTACATTAGTGTTCCATGTCGCAATCCAAAAAAGGAAACCAAAGTGGTCGCAAAGTGGTTGCAACCAGGTGTCACAAACCATTTTTATATGTCGCAAATATGGTTGCAACCATCACCAAGAATTGTGACCAGCATCTATATTCATGACCAAATTATACAATGTTTTTCGATGATGGAATGTCTGCATAGATTGCATTAAGTGAGATGTTTCTTTTTTCATGTAGGTAAGGTTGTGCATGTGATCATGTTTGAAGAAATGCCTAATTCACCATCCCAGGGTCTTCCACAACTTGTTCTGGCATATTGTGGTAGTGCAGGTAAATGTGCAATGGGTGATTTCTTGGCATAGTATTGCTGTTCCATGCAAGTGGGTCCATTTGTTTTTGGCCACCATCAAGTTATAGAAGATCTGTGAAGGCTTTACATACTTATTTCTTTTTAAAAGGAAACTCAATAGCAAGGTTGTGGTTTGATAGATGTTTGCATTTTTGGTGGCTAGTATCTGTTTCTAATTTTGAAAAGTTCTTCTTTTCTCAAGCATCAATGTTGCTAGTACCAACACAAGCAGGATCTAGCTATCTATTGAAGGTGGTATTTTTTAATGTACTTATAGTGTTCCTTCCTATTGGGTAAACATCAAAGATTCCATGCCAGGGTTTCCAAATAAGACCAGAAGTTTGACATTGTTTGATCCAACAAAACTCACAATCAGTATACTGTAATTTGTGTCTGTTGGTTTTTTATTTGATAATTTAAATATAATTTTTATTATATTTAAATTATTCAGATACATGTATTAAATTTTAAGATTTTTTTTTTTTTTTTTTTTTTTTTGCAAAAGATTGTTAGTTTTATTTATTAAGAATTTATTTTTATACATATTTTAAATACATAAATAATTCCCTCATGTTATAAAAACTTTACCCACATGTATATACATCGTGACCAATCTTTGCCCCACCTTTTAAATTTAATTTTATTATATATTATT